CATCATTTTTTTATTTAAGTATATAAATCTTGTCTTATTTAGATTAAAATTATCATTTTTCATGTTATTATCACTATTTAATAAATCTATGAATAGAAAAAAAAAAAAACAGAATTTGTATTTTTATTTGAAAAAAATGAAAGATTACCTTTTGATTTAGAAATATGAAAAGTTCATATTTTTAAATAGAAAAATGACACAATTTATATTCTTATTTGTACATTTTCTTTTATTTTTATCAAATTATAAAAATATATCAAATTTTATTTAAAAAAAAATAAAAATAGCTAAATCTTAATATTGTTGATAACATTTTACTAAAATAAGGGACGAATGTATCACTTATTTTTTCTTTTGATGAATTATAAATGTAAATCAAACTTAAATTCTTTTTAAAAAAATTAAAAATAGCTAATTACTCTTAATATTGTTGATAGCATTTTACTTAGATAAGGGGTGAATGTATCATTTCTATTTTTTTGATTTTGATGAATTGCATAATAGAAAGTAATCATATTTGATCTTTTAATCAACTTTATCTACATATTATACTAATCAAATTTAAAATTTTTTGTTTCTTTTAGAAAGAAATTACTAATGAATTATTTAAATTATTGGTATTCTTTGTACTTAAATATTCTTAATAAATTACTCCTATGTGTTGATTAGTTAATGATATTTGTATCTCTTCATAAATATTTTTACACTTTTTTTGCCCTTTGACACACTAAATTACCCATGTGTGTTGATTAATTGATGAATTTCCTCATACTGTTTTTTAAGAGGGGACTCAATTTTAAAGCATATTAATACGCATTTTTCCAAGAGACTTATATCAATGTGCTTAACTCATAACTTTATAATTTCTTTAATTTTAACTGGTGATAAAAATCTATTTAGGTTAGACGTATGTTACACTACACACTCTTTCATAAAAGAATTTTTTTTTCTTTTTTTGAACAAATTACAATTTAAAAAGAAAATTTTCAAATCTCAATTTTAAAATTAAGAAATACATCTTATAAAAAAAAATATAATCATCAAATCATAAAGTTTCAGGTGCTTTGGTAAAAGAGTTATGTAGATTAGTAAAAGGGGAAAACTTATTCCTTTATTATAAAGGCCAAACTTAATACGGTAAAAGGGGGAAAGAAAGGTAACATTTACATGGCAGTCAC